CAAATTGAATTATAGCAACAAAAACTGCTTTATGGCAGTTTTCTAAAAAAGGTTATTGTGTTCTATAGTCTGTTTCAAAAAGATTAACAATCAGGTTTGGGTCTTAAAAAGTATGAAGATAAGGGAAATTTGGACAACAAAGTACATAGAATGGCTTGTTAGGACACGGCAAATTGTTCTGTGACGGTTTCGGAACAATTGGACCAACCGTTAAGGAGTTAGAATTTCGGCCAGGTTTCCGGCCTTTTCCCATGGTTTACAATTTGCCCAGGAAACCAGTATCGATTTTTTATCAAAACCCACGATTTATCCTTTCCTTTTTGGCCTTGTGGTTATGAATGCTGTCTGCTGACCATTAGTTGTGAGTTCAAATCCCAACCTATCCTCAAATCAAACTTTTTTTTCATTGTTTTGGTGATCAAGCTGGTACAAGACAAAGAAGATGGCTGCACCAAACGACTTGTTGTTGGAGCTCGCGCTTCCTGCCGAACTGACTGACACTTGACTGGCTCACGCCATGTGAACACCCCCACAACACTGCAATGGTGTGAGTGAATTATAATGGAAGTCATCGCGCTGTAGCTTTTTGAGATATATTTTAGTATTTCAAGATCGCCAATTTATTTGAATTTAGCAGTCAACGCCGTCTTCTATCAGCGTTCACAAGCGTCTGCTTTTCTCAAAATGTCTTCGAAGTCACACGGATAGCTTTGCCAAGTCATGGCCTTGAGAATGAGTCCGTGTCGATGTCGTTTTCGTCACACGGTGAGTAAATTGCATCGCAGCTCGAAGAAACTATTTTGGTCACAAAACGGACCCATGCAGCTCGTCAACATGTACAACACTTTCGTTTCGACATGTCCTCTCTGACCGTCCATTATCGATATGAGGAAGAACTCGTTTGTTGTAAACCAGACGTACATGACTGTGTCAACGTGAGTGAGTTGTCATTTTTCCTGCTTTCGCCCGGAATATTTCTTCGAGTTCACAGTGAGGTTTTCCAGGCAGCGCTCGAGTGCTCATACGGTAAGACGCCAAACTCCGCGGGCGATCGCCAGGATTGCAAATCTTTTTGAAACGGACTGTAGTCCATGGACCCCGTCTAAAAAGTAAGAAATTAACGAAATGTGATAGCCGAAAATTAAAATTTCACACAAAACCTCACAATAATCACACACAGGATGAAAAGCGAGAAGACCTTTTCCTCTCGTGGTCGTCTTTCCTATTCATGCATGTTGGCGCAGTACTCGTAAAAGTCACCCGTGAAGTGTCAGACCAAGACGGACTCTTGGTCAGACTAAACACGTGTTGAAAGCAGTATTTTTTTAAAACTAAGATCCTCAAGTGTTGTGATTATTGTGAGGTTTTATGTGAAATTTTAATTTTCGGGTATCACATTTCGTTAATTTCTTACTTTTTAGACGTGGTCCATGGACTAGAACACAATAACTTTTTTTAGAAAACTGCCATAAAGCAGTTTTTGTTGCTATAATTTCTTTTGTTTTTTGGCTAAGGATGATTATTATAATAGTTGTGTCACCAATGGATCATGGAATGCCCTAAATGATGGCTTACATGTAGCGCCTCTACATGTGCATCATATCAAATTCAACACCGTATTATACGCATTGATGTGCAAGCCCTTTCTTGCAGAAAATGGCACTAGTCTTGCATATTCATGTTCTTCTGCAGGGGAATCATATGGGTAGTGGCGGTGATACTTTGTTTTTATACGCAGGTTATTCTGTGAATGTTGCTGTTGCAGAATTTCATGACTCTGTCATACAATTGTCTTGTCCTTCAGAAAATTCAGATGTCCACACCCTAAATCACATTTACTTGAGACTTGTAAACAGGTGCGTGCCGCAGATGTTTTTGTTGATTCTGTGTTTATAATTGTAGTCTTGGGTTGTCGTGATAAGGTCATCCGGCATCATATTGTACTGAAATCGTAATCCTGTTGATGTCGATAAAACTTTTGGAAGTAGTCCACGTTTGTCTAAAACAACACAGCAAAGTAGGAACAATAAGCATGGAATAAAATGTAAACAAAATACATTGTTGAGCCCGACACCTCGTTCCAACAACTACACTGATCCTGAGGATATAAGGGGCAAGGATATATGGTTGGAGGAACTGAGAGATAAACAAGGCACTCCATAATAATAAAATGTTACACGACTTTGGGGGAGTACAGTATGAATGATATCCAGTCAAACCTCTTTAGGACGAACATCAAGGGACCGATGGCACTTGTTCTGTGAGTTTGTCTTAACCCTATTTTATAACGAGTGAATACAATTATTTCTCCAATAGAGACACGAATAGATTTCTTCTGCAGCGAAAAATTCTAAGCCAGACCAAACCATTGACTAGTCTTGTATGAAACAAATGAGTCACTGAACCTTTCTTTCGCAACATGACGGCAACTGAAACAACAACAGAGAAAATACGATACATGTACACCCTATTAAAACGAGAGAGCTTGGAAGCTCAGGGCCCTGCGCTATGCTTTGTTGCCTGGCTCATCGTGCATGTTGGTAGAACTGATGGAAATGCTTTATGCTTTGATTAGCTACATCATTGTATTGCAAACAAGTTTCAATGAGATACTGAAGTAACGTCTTCTGCATAGCTATGGGACCGGCGCTGACTCTGCGGTTCTCGGGCGTTCTGGAGTCGACGGGATGTCTGTCCTGACGTTTCCTGGGACCGGCGCTGACTCTGCCGATCAGGGGCGTTCTTCTTCTTCTTATTATTATACTGACGGCAACTAACATCCATTCTGATTGCATTTACTCGTCTCCCTACTTCGTATTTCTTTCCAGAAAATCTCCCCATACAGCAGGGAGTCGTTTACATAATATGACTCCCTGCTATACATCTACATGACTGTATATACGTTATAATTATTATGCTGTCCGCCTACAAGCGATTCCCGGGCTGGTCGACAGGCGGCCCAGCCAGCCTGCTAGTGCGAGCTAGGCCTCGCACACAAATCCACACAAAATGTTACTGCACTGAATGCATTCCCCCGATACACTTCGTATATATATTCATTCTCTTGATGGTACCGTACTCTTGTTGGTACGGGACAGGTACAGGATAGCGCCAGGCATGTCGATGGCACAAACAAACAAAAATATTGTGGCCAGCTGTCTTTGCTGGTACGGTACAGTACGGGACAGATACGGGATAGCGCCAGGCGTGACACAAACAAACAAACAAACAAACACACAAATACAATTTAACACAATTTAATTGCCGATGTATTCTTCTTCTTCTCACCGCCTCCGCCTTCAACATCTGTCCGAACGTATCAAACAACACGTGCCGCTCTCAATATTGTCACAGGCGGCGAGGTCCTCCCGACCAAAGCGTGGCCGACCACGTAAGCACCCAACTCCACTACGGATACGGATACGGGATAGCGCCAGGCGTGACACAAACAAACAAACAAACAAACACACAAATACAATTTAAATCTCAGTTTATACGTAGTATTAACTGTAGTTAACACGGACGTAACGCTCTCTCAGCGCGTGCCCGCCTGCGTTTACTGCACGTAGCACTCCATATATACCCGGAGCGATGCCGCTACTTCACACTGCATTCCACATCTACCCATAGCGCTATCGTTGAGCTGCCCACGCACACCGCTGTGCACGTGACACGGGCACGGTTCGCGCCACGCGGGAGCGTGTTCCCCCTCTAGCTCTGTCGGCAGCTGAACCTACCAGCGCATCTGATCCCATATGTGCATGCACTCGTGTTCTTTGTTCCTGTTGTTGCTTACCACTCTCACTTGCTGTTTGCTCCAACACTAGCTCTTTGCCAAATTTTCCAGATTTTCGGTTTCTTGTTCCAACGTTTTCCATTCGAGACTATGGCCTCCCCTGCGTTCAGTACACTCACCGTGCGGGACCTACGCCTCAACCTCATGGAACGGGGACTTAGTCCCGCCGGCAAGAAAGCGGAGCTGCTTGCCAGGTTGATGCAATCCGAGGTCGGACCCCAAGTGGAGTCCTCTGAGACCCCCGCCGAGGCTGCCCGACAAACTGTCGAGGACAGGGAGACCCGCGAACTTACTATGCCTGTTGCCTCCGCGTCTACTACTATGCCTGTCGCCTCCGTGTCCGCGGCAATCGCGACTGCCCTGAAACCGTTTTTGGATCGACTGGACCGTTTGGAAGATGCAGCGCAAACAGCAACCTCAGCCCCAGGTACGTCCACTGTGCATTCGTCTAGTGTTTCCTGCACCATGCCGCATGATGACGGGCCTGTACAAATTTGGGCAAGCGCACCCCAGAGCGTGATCGACAAAATTATCACACACCAATTTGTTGATTTACAACAACTGTTGCCCACCACCGCCACGGACGTGCCAAGCCCCCACGCTCTAGTGTTGGGCGAGGAGGCACCCGGGAAATTCACGCTGTCCTCTCAGCCACGCATGTCCCGACGCATTTCGGACATCGAACATTGGCTAGAAGCATGGACGATATTCGCAGCCGTCTATCTAAATGCGCATCCGGGCAGAGCAGTAGAACTGTTGGCGTACCAGCACCATATTCTGAACGCCAGCAAGAAATTCACGTTCTCCGCAGTTGCGGAGTATGACCGCGCCTTCCGCCACAGCATCGCGTCCCAGCCGTCACGCCGTTGGGACACAACACCACAAACACTGTACACTACCGTGTTTGATGCCCGTGCCGTGCGGCCCTTTCGGCCCAGCTCCGCGGCAGCCTCCGGCGCCGCCCGCTCGTCCACCGAGCAGTGTCGCCTCTACAACCGGGGCTTGTGTCGCCGAAACCCCTGTCCGTACGTTCATCAATGCAGCACCTGCAACGTCTCCGGACACAGCGCACGAGATTGTCGCACAGGGCAACCAGCCAGCAGGCGTTCCGTTGCACCAACAATCGCCTTGGACGCCCGTTCACTTGGATCGGCTTGAGTCGGCCCTGGCCAGGCACCCTGACCGCACATTTGTTAACTCTCTTATGCATGACATGCGTGACGGTGCTGTAATCGGTTACTCCGGTGATCGCTCTCATTTTGTTGCTCCCAATTTAGTCTCTGCATTTCAGAACCCCCAAGCTGTCTCTACTTACCTGTCTAATGAATGCATCGAGGGTCGTATGGCCGGCCCGTACACCCACTTACCTCACGCAGATCTGCGCTGCTCCGGTGTAGGCGTGGTCCCCAAGAAGTCGGGTAAACTCCGCTTGATTATGCATTTATCTGCGCCTCAGGGCACTAGCATTAATGACGGTATAAGCCAAGACGAATTTTCACTGCACTATATGACTGTTGATGATGCGGTTCGGCTGCTGCACCGGCATGGCAAGGGGGCCCTGTTATCCAAAGTCGACCTACGCAATGCATTCCGACTATGTCCCGTGGCCCCGTCCGACTGGCCCTTGCTGGGCATTCACTGGGACAACGCATTCTACGTTGACAAATTCCTCCCCTTTGGCCTGCGGTCCTCACCATTTCTGTTCAACAGGCTCGCCGACGCCCTTTGCTGGGTAGCCACGAATAGATTCAATGTGCATGACCTGCTGCACTACCTCGATGATTTCCTCACAGTTCAACCCCCACAGCCGCCAAACCATGCTCGTCGGCAGTTTCACACGTTACTCGCAGTCATGGAGCACCTGCAAGTCCCGTTAGCCGAGGGCCCTGACAAGGTGTGCCCGCCGTCCACAACTGTCACATTTTTGGGCATAGAGTTAGATTCCCAAGCATGGGAGATGCGGCTGCCAGCCCCAAAGCTGTTGGAACTAAAGAGCACCCTTGACTCCTGGGTACACCGAGTACAGTGCACCAAACGGGAATTGCTCTCGTTGGCAGGCTCTTTGTCATTTGCCGCCAAAGTAGTACCGCCCGGGCGCACTTTCTGCCGCCGGCTCTTCGACGAGGCCAGCCAGTTCACGTCCCTTGACAGTACCCAGCGCCTGAACCAAGAGGCTCTAAACGATATATCCTGGTGGCACGCTTGCATTGAGTCATGGAACGGCCGATCACTACTGCTAGACCCATCCTGGTGCAAACCCACCGAGATGCAGCTGTTCACGGATGCTTCTGACCGTGGCTATGGCTTGGTCTGCGGCAAAGAATGGGCGTACGGCCAGTGGGAGGCACTCCACAAGGATCTGTCCATAGAATGGCGCGAGTTGTTTCCCATCGCCCTTATCTGCGTGACGCTAGGCAAACGACTTCGCAATCGCCGACTCTTAGTTCACTGCGACAACGAAGCGGTCTGCACAATCTGGCGCACAGGAACTTCTAGGTGCCCAGAGATCATGACACTTGTTAGGATTGCGTTGCTAGCGGCTGCCAAGCATAACATGGTTGTGTTTTTAGCACACATACGTGGTGTTGACAACGTTCTTGCTGACCGTTTGTCCCGGCTGCAGGTCGAGAGCTTCCGGAAGCTACATCCCCAGGCGTCTCCTGTCCCCATGTCGCTAGAAGTCCGGCAGCTGACACGCCTACTGACCACACCATGGGCCTCATCCTTGCGGGAGTGGCAACAAGTACCGCCCGGTCGTATGCTGCCGGTGTGACGGCATACGAGAGGTACACCAGCCTGCACCGTGTCGCGCCATACCCGATTCAGGCCACCCGCCTACTGGATTTCCTAGCATACATGTCATCCAAGTGCCGACTGGCAACTCTCAAGGTCTACCTCCATGGCCTCCGGCATCACTGCGTGGTCAACCACCTGTCGTTGTCCCCGTTCCAGGACGGGCGACTGGACCTGCTGCTCCAGGGTATCGCCCGCAACCAGTGCACGAGCAGCCAGGTGCAGGAACGCCGTGCTGTCACGCAGCAACACCTCCGTGCAATCCAGGGCTTCCTGCCGCACTCCGGTCTATCGCCAGCGGACCAAGCCATGCTCTGGAGCGCTATCACACTCGCCTACTACGGGTTCCTGCGAGTCAGCGAGTATGCCTCCACCGACCCGCGGAAGATGCTGACGCAGGAACGCGTCTGCATCCGGGAGAACACAGTGAGGCTGGCCATCCCGTTCTCCAAAACAACGCAACTGGGAGAGGGCAGCGATGTGACAGTCGGCGCCACCAACGATAGCACCTGCCCTGTAGCCGCATTCTCGAAGTACGCACAGCTGCGCCCCCAAGTGGCGGGAGCGTATTTCCGCTACCAGTCTGGCCAGCCGCTTCGCCCCTCAGACATGAACGACTTACTCCGCCGAGCTCTCCCCGGCCAGAAGATCTCCAGCCATAGCCTGCGTATTGGTGCAGCCACTGCCGCCGGAAGGAATGGCCTGCCACCCTACGTCATCCAAAGGGCCGGCCGATGGCGGAGTAACGCTTACCTCCGGTATGTCCGTCTGTCAGAATCGGACATGGAGCCAATCGCGAAGGCACTAGCGACAGCGTGAGTACCTGCACCGCCCTCCTAGCACTATCAACTGCCTGAGTGACGGCACTGCCCCCTTGACACTATCTGCTGTATGAGTGACAGCACTGCCCCTCTAACACTACTCGCTATAGGTCGTGGTGACCACACTGCCCCCCTAAGCACTGCTAGCGGCAGGAACGTCCGCACTGCCCTCTTAGCATTCCTCTCTGTATGAGTGCTTTTGCTCTTCCGCGCTGCTCCCTGCATAGGTGATAGCACCTGTCCTCTTGACACTATCTGCTGTAGACTCAAATGAATTTATGTCCTTGAACGTCGCTGTGCACTTGCATGTAGTTCCCCTGTTAATGTCAGCTAGATTGGGGCTCACGCCTCCCCCCAGCAATCTCATTTTTGGGTGGCATTCACATGGAGTGGGTGGCTGCAAAGCACCCCGTAAGCCTTTGAGCTGACACCCAACTCCAGGTTACCAGCCCCTCTGCATTCGTCCTACCATGCAGATGTCCGGGTGTAAGCGTAACCCCGTTAGCAGCCTACTTCCACATCTGTCCTACCATGTGGAAGTGCGGTGTAAGCCTAACCTTGTTAGCGGCCCCCTCCACATTCGTCCTACCATGTGGTGGCCTGGGTGTAAGCCTAACCCCATTTCCCCCGCGTGAGTTCCAGTCTAGCCCAAACCTTGTCTTCAATGTCTGTGCGTGCAGTGGGATGTTAAATCTCAGTTTATACGTAGTATTAACTGTAGTTAACACGGACGTAACGCTCTCTCAGCGCGTGCCCGCCTGCGTTTACTGCACGTAGCACTCCATATATACCCGGAGCGATGCCGCTACTTCACACTGCATTCCACATCTACCCATAGCGCTATCGTTGAGCTGCCCACGCACACCGCTGTGCACGTGACACGGGCACGGTTCGCGCCACGCGGGAGCGTGTTCCCCCTCTAGCTCTGTCGGCAGCTGAACCTACCAGCGCATCTGATCCCATATGTGCATGCACTCGTGTTCTTTGTTCCTGTTGTTGCTTACCACTCTCACTTGCTGTTTGCTCCAACACTAGCTCTTTGCCAAATTTTCCCCATCCCAACCCACCCAATTTGGCGTGGTACTAGTATCACAGTACTCATTACTACATACTATCCGAGTCACAAATAAATAAGGAACTCACGGAAAGGGTGGCATTCACATGGAGTGGGTGGCTGCAAAGCACCCCGTAAGCCTTTGAGCTGACACCCAACTCCAGGTTACCAGCCCCTCTGCATTCGTCCTACCATGCAGATGTCCGGGTGTAAGCGTAACCCCGTTAGCAGCCTACTTCCACATCTGTCCTACCATGTGGAAGTGCGGTGTAAGCCTAACCTTGTTAGCGGCCCCCTCCACATTCGTCCTACCATGTGGTGGCCTGGGTGTAAGCCTAACCCCATTTCCCCCGCGTGAGTTCCAGTCTAGCCCAAACCTTGTCTTCAATGTCTGTGCGTGCAGTGGGATGTTAACACAATTTAATTGCCGATGTATTCTTCTTCTTCTCACCGCCTCCGCCTTCAACATCTGTCCGAACGTATCAAACAACACGTGCCGCTCTCAATATTGTCACAGGCGGCGAGGTCCTCCCGACCAAAGCGTGGCCGACCACGTAAGCACCCAACTCCACTGTCCGTTCCGGCAGAGGCTTCTGCTCCACAAACGGTGTCTCGGAAAAACCAACACAGCACGCAGAAATTGGGAACAAACATTAATGTAAACAAAGACGAACACTGTGTCTTATCTTCATTATCAGCGAGTACCGGAACGCCGGACGCAGACAACCGCAACTCACCAAAGCTGAGAAGGAGCAAACGGCTGGCGGCAGCTCGGTTTGCAGAGGTGACTGGAAAGATGCATCGAAACTCTCCGGATATGGATGATGCCAGCGGAAGAGTTGACGACTGTCAGGCGTTTGGCAATGGCAAGGGAAGACCGGTCAGGAAGAGAACGCGACGGCAGCTGGAGGAGGAGTGTGGAAGCGACGTGTGCAGTGACGATGATGAACCCGGTGGTCAGTTGCTGGGAGAGCCGACGACAGGTGAAGGTGGCAGCGATGATGAAGAGGACGGTGACGATGATGACGATGATGGTGCAGATGGTGTGAAGGACGGTGGCGGTCAGAAACCAAGTGAAGGCGGAGGCGGTGAGAAGAAGAAGAATACATCGGCAATTAAATTGCATTTGTTGTCTAACCCCGTGTGTCGTGAAAGTTATGATGGTTCTTGGTTCAGTGTTGTTCGTTCTGCAAGTAGTTTCAAGCAGTTAAAAGTTCTATAAGCAGTCTACATTCGCATTCGTGATCCAAATCTTTGTAAACAAAAAGAAAATGTCACCGCACTTACGCTATTCCAGTAAATTCGCACTCACACACACTTACACATGCATGTCCATTGTCACACTGCACTTGCTGAATTTCCTATCATTTCTCACCTCACCTATAGTTTATTACCTGTGCAAATTGTTCCTAGGTTTGTGCTATTTTTCTTACTATGCTTGTATCCTCGCTGTTCCACTGCAAGTGTATAAATCCTATTGAAGTTTCATCATTCTCTTTAGTCACGAATTCCATTGATAATTGTGACAAGAAAACGTTCTGGAATACATGATTCGTCCCCATGGTTGTGATATGAGTGCGCATTTAGTTATATTCATTGCATTATTAAAATAATAACAATACAGCATTCTCGCAGGTACATGTACTACAAACAGATTGCAGATCGTAATTCTTGCTCTGCCGGCACGCAACTTTATTTGGGGCAGTGCAATCTCTGCGCTACTCACAAAATCAAACAGCCAAGACTCGAGTAAACAAATCCAATCGCACGAGATTTTCACGAGACGAGACTGCACCCATTGGCTTGTTTCGTATGAAGCAAACAGGTCACTGAATGCATGAACCTCTTCATAATGGAGATTTTCGCTGATATGCGAATTTATTATGCATACTCGGCCAATGCGTCCTTGAACCTTTCCCTCCAGATTGGGAACTGCCAACGATGCTATGCCACTGCAAAATTCAGATTCTACCCTATGATCGGAGCACGGAATGCCGGAAGCAATCATGCACGCCATGTACATAACCCCTCCCCCCTGTGTGCTCCCCAACGCATTCACGCTGCACAACTTTTCACTACTTTCACTTTAGCTCATACATGTACATCCTTCAAAGCGGTGAACCCCTTGATAGGCGACAAGCCTCTGGGTCATCCTAATAAAGATAATAGTATTATTATTATGACCAGTGCCTTACTTGTTACGTACCAATGTACAATGAACATGAGTATTTCGACAACACATCTAAGCCTCAGCAGCAACATAAACCTTACCGTCAAGAAGGTGAACTCGCGTTCTTCGCACACTGTTGGCAAGGGCAAAGAGATACGAATGGATCTAAATCCGAATAAAATCAGCACACGTTTACGTAAATGAAAGGGTGAGCATAAGCAAATGAATCGAAGGAAACTGGTCAACTCAGAGATCACCTGTCATTGAGTATTCCGTAAAAGGAGGCCTTCGCAGCGGAAAAGCTAAATTTAGAAAGGAGATCCTGTCAGCTTTTCCATTATTTATTGCATTCCATAATTCCACCTAAAATCAGCACACTTTTCGTAAATGAAAGAGTCAACACAAGCAACTGAATCAAAGGGAACTGGTCAACTCACCTGTCATTGAGTAATATTCCGTGAAAGGAGGTCTCAGCAGAGCCGAAGCGAAATAAGCCAGGACACGAAATATCCGAAACAGCTTATGCAAGAAGCAGTTCCAAAGAAGGAAGTTCCTCGCGCATGCACATCCGAGAACGGACTGCACTGCAACACAATGTCTGCCGTGCACGTGCACAGCACGCGGCTACCACGCGTTGGTAGATCTAATACCGAGCACCTTATGTAGAAACTTACGTAGCCTAAGTGAAATACCGAGCACCTTACGTAGAAACTTACGTAGCATAGCGATGTCGTTTTATCTGCCATGTGAACACAATAATAGAAAAGCTGACAGGATCGCTTTTCTAAATAAACGAAGCACAGAGAGACGATCTAACAGTTCTCTCCAACAGCAAAAAAAGAACACACAGGAACAAAAGCAAAAACGATAAGAAAAACGAAGACCGGCGTATAGTACACGGACGGAAGTAGCGTACCAAAACACCAGAGCCAGTCAATGCCGAAAATGCACGAAAAACAGCGGATGCAGCATGTCACGTGCGCCTGCTCAGGCGGGCTGCGTCAAATATGGATTCAACTTCCGCAAAATTGCGCAAGCAAAAACGGAACTTCAAGCGGGATTCACAGAAGCTTTTTTGCGATGCGACTCGCGATGCGACGCGATCTGCGATGGGCGCGTGCGATGCGAACTCGCGAAATACCATTCACAGAAGAAGTAATTGATGCGACATCTTGCTGATTTGGCTACGTCACCAAGATATTCGCGCGGTTTGTTACAACTTGTACAAATTTATAGGCAACTCTTGAACCTTTGTACAACTTTGCTGTAGAAAAGGTCAAAATCGTACGCCAAATCGCTTGTCGCATTGCATCGCATCGCAAAAGTTGAGCCAAGCTCAACTTCTGCGATGGCCCAGTTGCGGCAGTTGCGTGGAGTGCGACATGGCTGCGATTTGGGGTTTTCCCGGTTTCGCGCCTGTCGCATCGCGTGTCGCATCGCAAAAAAGCTTCTGTGAATCCCGTTTTTAATTCCAAGACCAGCAAAATTTTGTCGCAAAGCTGACTTCTTCTGTGAATGGCATTTCGCGAGTTCGCATCGCACGCATCCATCGCAGATCGCGTCGCATCGCGTGTCGCATCGCAAAAAAGCTTCTGTGAATCCCGCTTAATCCGCCGGAGCCTAGTGTGGACCCTGGCTAGCGCCAGATCAGCAGACTCTACTGACGTAACGACTTTTGCATAGCTACGGGAATAACTTTATTAGGATGACCCAAAGGCAAATCGCCTATCGAGGGGTTCACCGCATGGAATGGTTGTGGTGTGACAAAGCAAAG